CCAGAGCAAGGGTTGCATATTAAGGATGGAGTTGGATAATATGCTGTATGTGAATAGTCAATATTATGTGTCCAATGGTAATAGAAATTGTATTAGATTTGGTATTAAATAAGTGAGCTTTGCCAATGATTACTGAACTATCATCATTGATCGTAATTAGCCATGGCTTATTTTGTTTTCCAAAGTGACCAGTGGTATAGCTAAAATAGTTATTAGATGTAAGTGTGAGTTGTTGAGTTAGTTTTCTTAAGAAAGAGTTTTCAGTTAAAGTGTTTTCAAGATATGCTAGTAATAGTATTTTAATTTATTTAAATTTGCTAAAACAATATAGAATTTTTGTATGAAAGAAGCACCGAAAAATATAAACACAGAAGAAAAGATCTGGAATGAAATGTTGGATTTTTTTTTTTCTTAAGATTACGATGAATTTAAAAGGAAGGACTATTATATTCAATCTTATTTTTATGTTTTCTTTTCTAAATCAATAATTTTTTGTTTAAAATTTGCAACTATACATTATGTTAGTGTTTTAAAATTGGCCTATCTTCAAGTTAATATATCAATAAATTATTATATCAATATATGAAAATTATATAAATAAGAATTGGCATATTTGGCATGATTAACTTGATTTGAGAAAGTTCTTTTTTTTAATGCCTGCAAAAAAATACAAAATAGAGCTATCAAAGTCACGTAACAGATGTAAAAAAAATCAAAAGACTTTGTAAACCTTCAAAAAGTGTAATCAAAGACAATAAAATAAATACAAAATAATTGTTAAACAGAAAACTTAAATTATTTGATAATGATCAAGACCATAAAGAACTGTGAATTGCAGGACCAATAACATGAGCCAAAGCTGACAAGGTTTGAGCTACTCCATTAGCAGTATCTATTATATAATTAGGTGTAGAGTTTTGAAGCTATAAAAATGAAAGTTAGCTGATGAAGTTTAAGATGAATATTCATTATTTAATAATACTTACAAATAATATACATGAGCGATAAGAAAAAATATCTAATGTTTGCTTGATTGCTAGAGCAAATATGGTAAATATTAAGACACTTTTATTGGAAGAAGATAAAGTTATCGCAAGCCTGTTAATTAGAGGAAATAATAAATAGGCAAAAATATAGAGAAAATGCTCTAGTTTGTATACTTATTCCAAGTTTTCTTTGTTAGTTACCAAAGTTTAAATTACGAAATTAGCAATAAGATTTAAAATTCCTACAGAGTTTAAGATTAATAACAGTTTAATATTACTAAATTCCAATCCTCCTGATATAATATCAGTAACAGAATAAATTACATAAATTTTATCAAAGGAAACGATATGAAAATCTAGAATAATATAACTAATTATACATATCTACGTAGTTGATGGTATGTATAAGTTCGAGAATTTGGGTTAGATGATCTTAACTCGACGTTAGAATGCAAAAGAGATTTTTGTTCAAAATTAGAAAAATAAGTTTCAGGCAGTAGAAAATATCCAACTATAAAGCCAGTGAATGAAATTAAAGCTGTAAAAGCATAAGGAAGAAAATAGGAATAGGTTTTCAAAAAAAGAGAATTTCTAAAAAGAAACAGATATTTGATGATTAGATTTGAAAGATGGCTACTAATAGCAGGACCTGATAAAAAATATAGATAGTTAATTTAGAGAAAAGAAATAAATGTGAATATAAAAAATATCTTACCTACTGAAAATAAAAAAACAAAACCAAATGTTATGTTGGTTCTTTCTTTCTCGATTCTATAATAGAAAATTATTTACCAAGTGAACCAAAACTCCAACAGAGTCCAGGAAGAGAAAAGGCTTCTTTTTGGTTTGTTTTGTTGGTAACTTCTGCAAGCATGCTTTTGGCTATACTCACATTTCCTAATAATAATATAGTGAATGCAAAATTAAACAAAATTATAAATTATTCAATTTACCATTCAGAAGACCACATAATGCTCGAGATAAAATAGCCTATGTTAGTGATTTGCTAATGCCAAATAGAATGCAACTTAGTATGCTTCCTAGTAATCTAAGCAGAAGAACTGGACGTCTGCCAACTCTGTCAGACAGCCATCCCAAAACACGCAAAAGAAAATTTGAGAAATATAGAAAAATGAAGCTATTGAAATATTATGAATAGCTTTTAATCAAATTTATGCAAACATACAAATATATTAGGAATAATATATAGTATTACTAATCAACCCTGCATTTTTGCCAATTTCTTTATCATCATCAGTAATTTTAAAATCTTTTATCTAAAATAAAGTAAAATCTTTAACTTGAATAACTATTATTGATAAATGCAGGTTACGCACTATAAAATAAACAAAAAACAATAAAATTGAATAATTAATTAGTTCGCTAATTAAAATTAAACTGAGTATAAATAATATGCTCTATGATAAAGGTGTTCTCTCTTTGTTAATAGAGTAGTTTTGTTCAACAACTATTTCTAGTGATTCGTGATCATTATCAATATCCATATCAATATCCATATTAGAAATAGATAAAACTTCAAAAGACTCGACAGCCAGACAATTTATAGTTCATTTTTATTTTTGTCATATCATTAATTTAATTATTGATCTTTTTTTTAAAATTTCAACTCGTAGGTTGAGATAAGGTCTTGCCTCTATCTTTATTTTTGTAAAATATAGTTAAGAGTTTACATAAAACTACCTGGTAATAAATTATATTCAAGAATTGAAGCTCAGATGATAATAAAATAACTAAAACTAAAGTAAATACTAAAATTAAGACTAAATTAGAATTATTTGTAACCTAAACCTACTAGAATAGTCAAGACTTACCTAGATTTAATTAGAAAGAATATAGTTTGTAGAGAAGCTATATTTAATTCAATATATTGGCCAAGCAGAAAGTTTTTGTATAGCAAGTTCAGTTAGTGAAATTTGGTTGTATTGAGAAAAAGGACTATATGAGTTATATGTTTCCTGAGATATATGAAGGAGTTGTTAATTATTTCTGTGATTTTGTTGATGGTTTGAGTATGATATATGAATATTGTATTGTTGCTTCTAGTTTGCAAATTCAAAGCAGTAGGGTAACCATAGCTGTTCATAAATTTTTGAATTAAGTTTAAAAAATAACTTAATAGTTGTCTGTGATGCTAAATAGACTTTATATAATACAAGAGAAATTAGAAAATAGAACCTATAAAATAAGAACAGAAAATAGAAAAATATTAAAAGGATATTATAATAGTGATAGACTTGTTAAATATTACAAGAAGCAAATATGGGAACTAATAATTGTTATCAAAATTTTTGAAAGAAATTTTTATTAGACAGATGAAATTAGTAAAACAGACAGTATATAATCTCAAAAGTATAAATAGTACTAGAATTCAACAAAAATTTCTTCAAAAAGAAATTCTTAAAAAGAAATAGATAGGGTCTGATGATCTTAATATAGTGGTTAGGTTGCCGGACTGCCATGCAAGAGGTCTAGGGTTCAAATCCCACTATATACAGAATTGAATAATTACCTAGACATCTGTACCCAATTTATGGTAAACTCTGCTCGTTTCTGGGGTTGTAACCCTGTAAATCACATTGCACCAATACCAATCGGAGTATTGGAAGTGTGACGGGGTGTTCGAAGAGGTATAACGTTATATAAATAAATCTTGATAGAATCTACGAGCAGAGGACCTGCATGGTAGAAATCCTGAGTTAGGTGAAGTCGTATGGATTTCGACAGTTATATCAGTTAATGTCTGATCTGGGAAAGGAAATCTGCGTATGAAAAGATCAGCGAAATAGATATGAGTAAGTCCTGAGTACAGAAGGATCGATGAAACAGATGCGAGTAAGTCCATTACACGAAGTCATACGGCAACACCAACTTAGCTTGACAGCTAACTGAATTTGGGAGGATCTGTCTCGTGTGATATCCAACAGAAAAGCAGGCAATACTAAGCAACAGATTTAGGAGGATCTACTTCGTGTGATATCTAGAAGCACAGATAACTAACTTGGTAGAAGACCACGGTAGGAACTGGATTTGTATGAATATCAAACAAAGATATATGCAAGCTATATTGAGATATAGCATAGCATATTTGAGTACCACAGAGCTCATTAATTTGGAAGTTGGTGAAGGGGTACCTGAGATGGGCCTAGACTTCGAATCATAAAGTTTGTAGGCATATGTCAGCTCAGGTGTCTTTCTGAAGAAGTAGCATGGGATTAGGCTGGCTTGGTATAAACAGATAGAAATGAGTAAGTCATAGCACCAGAGGGTTTAAATAGGGAATCTTCAAATAGATTTCAGATATCGCAACTAGTGTAGAACCTTCGGGCGGACTACTTAAATAGATAATCTAAAGTTATACATGTGACTAGTTGTATCCTCACAATATGTATCATTACCTACTATCAAATAACCAATAAAAGT